GGCGGGGCTGGGGTGCGAGGCCGGCCGGGGTCCGCTCCCGCGGGAGGTCAGCCTTGCCGTGGAATAGCGGGGAGATCCTGCGGGGGGGTATTGACATGCAAATGCGTTCCTCGCAGTTAACGGCTCGGCTGGGCTTGGGGGCTCCGCTCGGGGCGTTTGAAAAATGGGAGCAGAACCGTGAATACCCACAAACGCGGTGGTTTGAGGGGGACTGGCGACGTTGAGGTCCCGGGTAAAAATACTGGAGCCTGCGGGGTTTTTGTGAGGACGTGGGAGCACCAAGCAGTCTCCGCCACCCTGCAAAACCCCCGTGCCCCCCCGGGGTGCAGGGGAAGGGTGGGCTGTAAGCGCCCCGCTGGCTTTTTGGGTGCCCGGCTGCCGCTTTAGCCCGTGCTCGGTACACAGACCTGGCCTCAGCTTCCCTGTTAGCAGAGTATCTGCTTCACACGTGTGCCTTTAAGGTTAATTAAAGGTGCTCTGGAGCTGCTTTGGGTTTAAAAAGCTTTGTGCGAGGTAGAGTCTGTGCTTTCTGACAGCGATATAAATCTGCATAAGCTCTGTCAAAATCCAGTTAATTGAGGTTTACACTGTAGTAATGGAGAGCACGGTGTGCCTGTCTAAATACAACAAAAATTACTTAAACTTGTTTTCCTTGCCACTGGCCATTTCTTTTTCTTTTTTTTTTTTAAATTTCAATTCTTACAAAACAGCAAATGTGAATTTGATGATTCAGCTAGTCAAGAGTAGAAGGTGTATGTCTGTGCAGGGAGCTGGAGGTCCCTTTTGACCTCTCGTCATCCTCTAATGCTTCACTTCTTATTGCTACTGGAAGAAGAGTAATATCCATGTGCTGAAGTTTTAGGGGTTAATGTTGGTCCTATGAAGTCGTTAGCAAAATTGTTATTGGTCATTTTAGTGTGGCCAAGGTCTCATCCTTAGAGTCTGTCCACACAGGGTTACTCAAGAAAATTAATCCAATTAACCTTTCCAGTGGGTTGATTAAAGTGAATTAAATCACTGTATAGATGTTCCTATCCAGAATTGAAGTAGCCTTGATTTGATTTAGCTTGATTCATCTTTGAAGTGAACTAACTGGACTGAGTTAAAGTCGCTTACGTGCTGAATGAAAGTATGTTTACAGGGTTGCATTGTAGCTCAACCAGCCCTTGGTAAATTTGCACCTGTGGTTAGTGTGGATTAGGTTTCAAGAGTGTCCTGATACAACGATCTGTTGTTACCTGATAGCAACTGGATTAAAGTAGCGTCGCAGAGCAGCTCCAGCTTGCAAAGTAGATGAGGCCTGAGCCATGTTCTGCAAAGCCTCAGGCATGTTTCACGCTTTTAGTTCAGTAGCATCATTTGTTTTTATTGTGGAAAGTGTTGAAACTGAGCTATGCTTTGGATTAGATCTTTTCATGCTCGGTGTTAATGCCAGCCAAGGAAAAAAATGCATTGCCTTCCATACCTAGGGAAATATTTGTTGTTCCTGATAGAGAAATCACTGTTGATCCTTCTGGAAAAACATTCTCTTTCTTCATTTCGGGTAAAGGTCAGCTTAGTCGTTCATTAACAAAGAAGAACATTGTTTTGGTTTGAGTACTTTGTTCCTCACCAGACCTACTTTGGGAGGGGAGGTGGTGTGTCCAGGTTCTCCCTGGCTGCAGGTAGCTGGGACTGCTGTGAGACAGCATCACCCTCCTCTTCTGGTGTGGTCTCAAAAAAAAAAAGAGGTCGTTTCTGTGCAGTGATGGCAGTGAAAATCTGATAACTGTAGCTAGGTGCCGCAGGAAGCCTTGCTTCTTGTGTTTACTTTCTTTTTTATCTTTAAAAGTATTTATATTAGCTGAAGGTCTGATATAGATGGCATTTTGCCGGTGAAAACCGCTTCAGCCGGTCCAGGTTATTTTGTGGGCAGGGGTTTACTGGTGTAAAATACACCCTCAAAACACTCTTTTTCTAGTATAAACTAGACCTTGGTGCTGCAGCCTGGTGTTACAGGGCCATTTTTCCATGGGCAGTAAAGTGGATGTTCTGACCATTGTGGTCAGTAAAGCTCTTGTAAGTTATTTGCTGAAGGTTTTGGTGTTAGTTGCAATCTCTGGGCTGAGTTTCTCTGCCTGTATTTCTATTCGCCTCTCAAGTGTCTGTGACATTTTCTCTTTTCACAAAGCGGCTTTTGCTGTGTGCTCTTTTGACCCACCCCAGGGGATTCCTCAGCTCTGTGTGTGTAGATCTTTTTTACTAGAGGTCTCGTTTGTGAGCCTTTTGGGGACAAAAGCATCCTGGAAATATTATTTTAATTAGTTACTTATAAAGCAGATAAAAGAAACTGGCTTGGGCTCTGCTTGATCTCTGTTTGTCTCATCTCCTGTGATCTGATACATTACTAGCAGCTAAAATGGGGAAGGGCTACACCCCCTCCTTGGCTGCCTGTTTTAAGTGAGCTCTTCGGTGCAGCTCCCCATGCCATCTCAACGCACTGTGCGTTGCCTCTTGGAGCTGGGAGACATCCCAGCCTCGTATGCAGGCGGGCAGGGCTGCACGGGGCTGTTCTGGGGAGGTGCTTTGGAGCTGTGCAGACCTTGCCCCTCTCTGGAGGATGTACCTGCGGTCCCATCCGCCGTTGCTGCCTTTGCCAAAGAGCTGAGGTCTAGGGCAATGGCTTTGCAAGGGGATGCCTGTCTGCTAAGACTGAGGCTCAGTCCCTTGTCCAGTGCAGGCTTGGAGAGCCATCAGTTGTTAGTGGTGGCAGGCAAAACCCAGGTATGGTCTTCCTCGCCAGGAGCTCCCGATTTTCCTGCCCGTTTGAATCCTCTCTGCGGAGAGAAAAGGCGGGGGGGGGAGGGAGTGACCCTGAACTCTGCCCCAGCAGGGTACAGCTCTTTGGAACTGTGGAAAATTGCAGTGGCTTAAGTGTTTTTAATTTTATTTTTAGTAATACTATAAAGAAGCGTAAGGGCAGTATGTCTGTGGCAGTCATTAGAACCAACCCTGCCACACTGCTGTCTCTGGAGCTCCAGCCTTGACAAAGGCTGATTGTGCCACTCGTGCTTGGAGAGACCTGGCAACAATGCTCGCGCTGTGGTTTCTACTCTTCATTAAGCATCTGATTTGACTTTCTGAAACTCCTGAGCTGTACATTCAAATGCTGCTAGTTGTAGTCTGCTGCCAGGGAGGCCAGTTTCCCAAACATGGTAGTAAAAGGTACACCTCTGACTGCAGCCTCGGGGAAACAGGAAGGGCTCGAACCTTTATTTTCCATCTTGGCAAGGCATTCTCAAGGGCAGGCAGCCTGGCTGGCTCTCTTTTGCCTTAACATAGATTGAATAAAAGTTTGCTGTAAGCATCAGACTTCCTCCCAACCACGGCACCTTCCCTCTGATCTCTGCAGCTTAATGTGGCCTTCGCTGAGACTCCTGCAATAAAAACCTCCTGGCTGCTGACTTTCTAAGTGATCGGGGAAGGGAGTCAGCTCTGAGGTGCGGTGTCTCAGGCTCCTATGGAACAGACTGATGTTATTGGCTTGTATCAGGGCTTTTGGTGCCTGTGTGAGCTAAGCAACATGACAGTGGACAAGAGAAACTTGATGTCTCTCAAAGGTGGAAGTGGGTTCGGAAAGTGTTGATGCCTGGCCCGGTGTCTGGTGAGGAGGTATTCTGCTTCAGGATGTTTCAGGAGGCTGGTGTTGAGAGATGAGGTATCAGCTGTAGTCATGTGAAGGAAGGGTTGGCCTTTAACTGGATTAGTTTAATCAGAGCAACAATTTTGAGAGCAGCTGAGGGTCAGCCAGGTCACTGTGAAGCCACCTGTCCCATGCCCTTTGGCTCCAGCTGAGATTTTTCCTTGCAGCATGATGTGCAGTGTCATGGTTTTCTGCTTTGTGACTTCCTTGGAGAAGGGCTCTGAAAAATTCAGACAAGCTGGATGGCTCGAAGGCAATGAGGAGGTGGAGAGTGATGGGACATAGACTCAGGCTTTTTTTTCTAGGTCACTGGTTCATGTCCAGCTCTTCTGAGTAATAGGAGGTCTCTTTTTCCAGCATGCATGAATTCAGTAGCTGAGGCTGTGGTACTCATTTCACTTCTGGTTAAAGCTGGGTGAAAGTTTTATTATGCATTCAGTTGTTCTGGGTCTGCAGCGCTTGGCAGAAGAGATGGGCAGGATTAGCATATTTCATGCTCTTGGCTCCAAAACACAACTGAGCAGGCAGGTCTGCCTCCTCCCATCCCTTAAATCCTTAGCACTTGTCCTCTGCGAGCTGCCGTGGAGGTTGTACCGAGGCAAAAAGATTGCTCAAAAAGCAGACTTTGGCAGAGAGGAGCTTACAGACTCACGTTGATGCCTTCTGCAGAGATGTTTCCTTAGTTACTGACAAGTTTTTGGACTGGGATAAGAGGGGGCACAGTCTGTTTTGCCCTGATTCCTGGGGATTCAGGGAGGTGTGTGTGGGGCGCCTTCCCCCATTTGTGATACTAGGACATTGGCCATCACCCATTGCTGCAGCCTGGGTAATGAGCCCAGCTGAGCGGTGTGTTGCAGACAGCATTGTGTTTGCTGTGACCGCAGGCCTCTCTTTAATCTTTAATTTCCTGCGGCCATGAGCAACGTCAGAGGGCGTCTGCCTGCCAGGCGGGAGTTGGAGATGGCCGCTGCAAGGAGCAGGAGAGG